GCTCAGCTGTTGACTCGGAGCACCTAGAGATGACAAAGAAAGCCCCTCTCTCTTTTAGGCACTGCAACAGAGATAAACTCCAGCTTGCTCTATGCTCCTGTGTTGAGTCTTTACAGAGCCGATGCTGCAGCATACGCAAGTGGCTGTTGTGAGCGTTTACTTGTGCACTCGTGTGTCCGTGTTGCTCTGCAGTTAAACGTCTTGGTATTGGCGGGGTATCCACAGCGCAATGTTAAGTTTCTTTTTACTTCAAACAATACTGACCCAAACACAGTGGATCACACTGGATTTGGAGATAATAAATGTCAAACAACAGTGATTTTAAAATGCAGAAGACATCAGAGCTGGTAAAGTCTCTACTGGTAGAGCTATGGTAAATGGTGAACTGATATCGCGCTTTACAATGTTTTTCTCATTCACACACCAATGGTGACAGAGCTGCCATACAAGGTGCTGCCTGCCTTTGGGAGCAACTTCGGGTTCAGTGTCTCACCCGAGGACACTTTGACACCTCACTGATCGGACCACCAACCTTGTGATTGGACAACCCGCTCTACCACCTGAGCCACAGTCACCCTGGGAGCAAGGAATTGGTTTGGGGCTACACTGGCAAAACACTGGATCTCATGTTGGCACTATGAACAAACCAATCACAGCCTATATTATATTACATTTTGCTTCACAGAAGAATTATCTGCCGAAAATCTATATTCCATGTTTATACGGTATGTTGCTACCAAGTAGACAAAGCGGATAAATCCCTGTTGTTGTGGTTTGCATTACCACAGCAGGTGACTTCCTCTCACCATCGCTAACTTCCTTTCATTTTCTTCTTCGTTCTTGTGATGCGTACTGAAAAACATCTCTATGTTCGCAACATGTTGGACTGTCAGCTCAAAATTAACTTATACAGCTTCACTTGCTTAAAAAAACAAAATAAAATAAAAAACATTTGGGGTGTTTAAAATGTAAAAAATGTGACCACAAAAAAAAAATGTTGCTTTTTTTACCTGTGTAATCAAGATAAGTTCATGTATAATCCATCCCCATACTGATTTTAACTGTATTAAAAATGGTGAAAGAAAAGCACACAGAAATATTTTAAGGTGTGTGAAGCAATTCTGATGAAGTGTTTATGCCCACATCACTGCTGCCGGCTGACAACGTTCAACATCCTATTAGACTTTACAAAACACAAATCTGTTCTTCTTTTGAAACTACCGATGCATTTTTCACTTTAAGAGCATTTGGAAAGCCTGTCAACTGTGAAATCTGCTCAGCGACCGCTGAAGTCACCGGTCGAACACCTCCAGCCGGAGCGCACGAGCATTTCACGAATGATTTCCTTCCCTTGGGAATCAATTACTTAACCTCTGTGTTGCAACCGTAAAACTTAACTAGCCTTTAGGCCTGTGTGTCTGGGTCTTAATCACAAACAAACGCAGGTGATGGGCTTGACCCTGAGAGGCCTGTGCCACCGCATGAGCATCGCTATATCATATGTGAAGAAATCCCTTTTGTAGCGTGGCAGACTGAACACAAATAGGCATAGATTGAGATAAATAAGCAGCAAGAGAAACCCTGTATCTCCAGCCTCTCTATCGGTGGTTGGTTTGTAAGTTATGATGCAAACAAACAGTAGAAACGTATAGACAGTGAGCAGTTTCTCAGGCAAATCAGATTACACTGCTGTTTTGTGAAAGGGGCCACATGAAGGACCCTCTTATACTTATAAGGAGGCTGTTCAGTGGGAACTGTACGTGTTCTGTTTGGACACATGCAACGTTGTGCGCGCGTGTCGTCATCGCTGTCAGCAGGTTTCACGGCTGATTTTTTTGTAATCACAAGCTCAGGGTCACACAGACAAACACAGCACACAAACAGAGGCAGAAACGCATTATATGCAGGCAAAACTACGACATATTATTTGTTCTGGTAAAACTGAATCAAACATAAGAGCTGTATCGTCCCCATGTAACTCCTCCATAAAAGCAATCTCCTTGCAACACACGATCTCCTTCCACGTTTCCATATTTGCTGTTCACACTGTACTCGAGATTACACGACAGCCAGGCTTCGGCGTGATGACCTACAGTACATGTGACTTTCCCATGCGTTCGTTTCCTCGGACCAAGCTGTGGTTCTCCGCAGGACACACACACACAGGAGTCTTCTGGCTGTGGAATGCTATTAGAGGTCCAGTGACAGGGTCAGAGGGTCATTACCTAAAGACTAGTGTAAACAGCTTAGGACAAACACTAACAACCAGCTGGGAACCTGCTCATACTTTCTCCTTCCGAGCTATTCTGAAAGGTGCAATCCAAAGCTCCTTGTTTGTCATTTCTACGTCTTGTCTACGAGTCGTGTTTCCATATAATTGTCAAGCGAATTTGAAGCGAACTGTTCAGATGTCACACAAAAAAAAAAAAATAGAAAGTGGAAAAATAAAATGCAAATCAGCCTTGTTTCTATTTACTGCTTTGGAGCAAATAAACTAGGCTACATGGTGTCATCAGAAGGTGGTGGAACAGGCTGAGTGAGGCACGGCTGTTAATAAACAAAGTAGACGAAACTCACAAAAAATGAATATTCAATTCTCATGACTGATCAGCGAAGTCAGAACCTATTCAAAAAGCTGTGTGTGCATCACTAACTGTGTGCACTCACTCTGTTTTGAAAGGGCAAAAAGAAAAAACCCTTGAACAAAACTTGTCTGCAAAATTGAAGACGTTTTTTTTCAAGTGTTGCCGTTTCCATCATTTTTTTTTTCATCAAAGTACTTTATGGAAATACAGCTAATAACTATTTATAACACAGCACGTTAATTATCCATAAGACTGACCTCCAGTAGTCGCCCTCAGGCCATTTGTTTACATGCAGAGGGGTTACACTAACATTGCGATTCCTCATCAGATAATTCTATGAGCTAATTATTGACTTGTTGATTAAAAATGCCTTCGTTAAAGTCTACAATCAATCTTAATTATAAGGTATTTCATTTACAGTCCTTTTCCACAACCGATCAATTAAATATGTCGTAGCTGAAGCTCAAAACCATTCCAACAACTCCTTAGTCAAGAGCTACAGGAGGATATTTTCTGTACTGTGCCATGTTAGTCCAAATCTTAGCTTTACCGTACTCTATAGATCATTTCTGGCATTAAAATACCAAGAAATATGTACCAATAGTAGTGTCCCTGTCCCAACATTGGGTAATTATTGAAACTATGAGATTGCAGGTAGAAGCAATCCCACCTGAGTGTCCCTGACAAGGTGTCTGATCTCAGCCAGACAGGCTTGAAGTCGAGCTGCTGCTTCATCTCCAAGAGAGGAGCTGGTTAAGGTGATTAGGATGCCCCTCGCACACCTTCCTGTGGAGGCATTCCAGGCACGTCCACGTAAGAGAACCCCCCCTGGGCAGCCCCAGAGGGTATACAGTATATCTCATCTGTGCTAGGGATGCCTTGGAATCCCCAGGAGGAGCTGAAAGAAGCAAGTAGTGAGAGAAGATGTCTGGACTACTTTACTTAGCCTGCTCCCACTAAAATTCTTTCCTTGAAAATGGGTCGATATCAGCAAAGAAATCTCTCTCCAGTCCGGAATTAAAGTGCAAACGTCCAACTAGTTATTAAGAACCACACAAGTCAACTCATCGGACCCACTGCCTGTCTGTTCCATTATTTACAAAGTAGCTGAAGAAGGCGCAGCTCAGAGCCTGAGGCTTGTCTGATTGCTAACTCCAGGAATCCCAACCCTCACAGGGAGGAGCACAGTGAGGTTCACTGGCCTTTTCTGCAGCACATCATTTAGACTGAGCAATATAGCTTCGGGAAGTAACCTGCCACGGCAGAGAAAGCGAGACGGACGTAGTTCCGAGTGGCATTTTGACCTGTTTTTGGCTGACATCAAACCAGCCTGTGACGGGCTGTGTGTGCTGTTTGTTTTCACTACGCTCGGCGCTGCGTGACAAAGCTATGATCTTGACTCAATTTGAGAAGTGAGGCGACGTAATATCACATTGGGAGCTGCTGCACTACGACTTGCACTGAGCAACTGGTGTTGGGGCTGTTTCCAGCTCAATCTTTCACATTTTCTGGTAACTGCACATCTCCTCAAGCATTACTGGTAATTTCCTCACTGCGGTGGCATGCTGGGATGATTTCCTTCCCCTCCTCACATTTCCTCACTAATCACTGGGGTTCCTATTTTTTGCTATGTCAAGGACACACAAACAGACTTCATTAGAGTCGGATAATTTCGATCAACTTGTCATCACTGTGGTTTGGCAAAACTGTACTTATGTGTATGGGTAACATTTGTTGTCTTCAACAGCTGTGTAAATGTCTACAACCTCCAAAGGAACGCTGCTCTCAAATGTACAGTAGTGTGCTGGTGTTAATGAGAACTGAAAAGTGTTGGTCTGCTCGGCTTGCCAACAGAAGTAAGTGGACGCCTCGCCACAATCACTGCCCATCATTATCACATCACCTCCCACACCCTTCAACACGCCGCCCTTACACATCCCTTCACACACATGGTGAAAATGGTGTGAGCTTCAGGTCCAAGTCAGCGCACTCATTCAGCGTGTCTTCTGGACTTAGTAGGAAGAGCTTTATTAACGCCTGTGTGTGTAACAACAAAGGAAGACAACAGTGAAAGCTGGCTTGTTTCCCCTCAAGCATCCCTAGTTTGGAAATCCATCATCCAGTATGTCTGATTTACAACATGCTGGCAGCCCAGTGGGAGAGAAGCCCACAGAACTGTAGTTATTGATATAATGGGTGGGTGGGACTTTTGCACAGAGGCTGCAAGCTCTCATTATCTGTTAATACCACAGCCTGGATGTGCACAGAGGTGGGTATTTACAGAATAATACATCACTCACCGCAACTATTTTCACAACAACGGCACGATAATAAACGAGTAATAAATAGCAAAGGAGGATATGTGCTTCTATTTCCTGTGTTGTGCTGTTTGAACGGCATCCAGCTGCATCTCACCGTCTATGTTCTCTCTGTCGCTGATGTGCTGGAGGTTGCAGCCCGTGTCCTCTCGGCTCAGCTCGGGCTCCGGCCGGTAGGGCTCCAGCCTGGAGTGGTTACTCCTCCGGTGTTTGGGGCTCGACGACACGCAGCAGGAGGTTGTATTCCCCATGTTGTCCGCAGGTTTTTTTTCTCTCAACACCCGACGCGGTACCTTCTTCTTCTTCTTCTTCTTCTTGTCGCTGAGAAAAAACGGGGCGGTAACGCGGATGGACGGACCTGGTGCAAACTACAAACTAGCCCCGGTATCCGTTAGCGCTACACGCCCTTCTCTCGCGACTAAAACGCGCGTAGCTGGATGAGAGTGGCCATTAAAGCGGATAAAAAAAAAAACCACGGCCAAGGTGGGCTAATAAATGAGAGGAGCTGCCCCAGCGTCCCCCCCAGTCCACAGCTCCAGGCGAGGGCAGATAGTGCCTCTGTGTTACAAGGCTTCGGTTTCACTGTCGACTCCCTCTCGCCTCGTAATTCCTTGTCCGAGCGTCCAGGTGTCTTCAGAAACACATTTTCATGTTGTGCTGCTGTGTGTCGACACGAATAAAGAGGAGGACATGGTAGTTTGGCTCGTCGGGGGTATCTTTGCTCTCAGCGCTACATGGTTGCCAGAGTACTGTAGATCACTGCTGCTGCTACATCCGCTGCCGCGCTGCCTTCAGGGGCTCGCCGTCGAATCGGATTTTTAATACACAAAGTTGGTTGTCACATTTAAACGCATCCCTATGCACACGGACGTCATAAAAGACAAATATGATAATATGTATGTTCTAAGAAAATAACACTTTCGTTGCTCTAAGGTAGAAAGTAAAGAGCTTGATTGTTTGTTTTTTTAATTTATATATTATTTGTCCTTTGTATGATGTTTGATTTTGGCATTTGACATAGCAGTTTGTAAAGAAAAGAATCACACTATTAGTGCCCTTTTGTGTAATTCTCCACTAATGTCTGCTGTTTATTTTTTATCACGCTTGTTCTCTTTTCTTGTTGTAGGATATTAAATGCATTGTAAATTACAACTTTTTCGGCAGTACTTAAATGCGTCTTAAAAACCTACAGCGCTGTCGCTGTGATGGAACAGGTTCCGGTTCAAGTGGGTGGCCACAACTGAGTAATAAATGGACAATTATGACAGTCTCTAGAGGGATGCAATAAATCAAAACACACATAGAATAGAATAGAATAGAATAGAATAGAATAGAATAGAATAGAATAGAATAGAATAGAATAGAGGGGCTCAAGCATTGAGGTTGGATCCTGAGGACTGTCACTGATGGGTTTCTTTTCATTCAAGTTTTATAATTAGAATGATAGAATATCATATCTTTATTGTCAGTTTCTGTGTGTATCCAGGGCATGCAGTGCAATTTCTCTCTCACCTCTCACCTATCAGTGCCATACATTAAAAAAAGGATCAAAATACAATGTAAATAAAATAAAATTTAATATATAAAAATCAACCTATGTACATTGGTGGGAGTGAAATACAGTGGCAGCTTACTGTGGTGATAGAAGTGCAAATAAACAAAGAAATTATACACCAAATTGGGCTTATTTATGTTAAAATAGGTGGATGAGCTCAAGCGTGTCCCTGGTTATGATCTGTTGTGAACACAAACATGGACATCTGTCATGTTCTTCCTACCCGTATATGTGTGTGTGTGTGTGTGTTAATTGTTTGATCTTGACTGACGACTGTCAAATCCTTAAGGGCTTTGCGTTGCCTGTGACAGTAAAATGGCTTCTCATACTAAATCTCTCAGTGGGATTAAGTGGGATTTGTAGAAGTTAATGTAAACAAAGTGGACTCCTGAGGAAAGGCACACTCCATTAAGATGTTTCTTTGACATGCAAGACAATATGACTGCATCTGATGCCTCAGGCTATCGCTGGTGCCAAAGACAAGAGGGCTGCATGAAGGAGCAGACAGGCTTTTTGCATGATTGCTTTGGTTGAAGTGATCAGGCGTGGTGCTGTGGTGCAGCCTGCTGGTCCTGAAGCTGCACTGCATTGTGTCATTGAAAGCATTCACATGATAGGCTGCTTCAGATGTGTTTAGTGATCTGAAAGAGGTCTTCTCATTTTCAAATTTATCTTAAAGCTTTATAAAAGTAGTCATTTCAAATTATACGAACCAAACAGGTCCTCTGTGTCAACCAGGACAGGCTTCAACTCTGATGATCAGTAGATTTATCAGGGATAATGGCATCTTTTAATTGCAGTAAAGTCAAGAAACCATTTGATCAGGTTCCACTGGTGGAGCAGTGATTAAATTCCTATCTAGTCCATGGTAACAAATGTATCATGTAACCTCAAACCGAGCATATTTCCTGTTTCCAACCGCTGCATTCCACAGTGTAGTTTTGTCTCTACCAGGGTGGAAGTTGCCTGTGTTTTGTTACAGACTGGACAGGAATAATGTTTCACAATAGGCCCAGGTGCAAGGCAAGTCTCAGAGGTATTGGATTCTTTCCGCTGCTGTTTTGCTACCATGTCTCTACTGCAATCTACACATGGGAGCGACACACAACGCTGCAGGCACAATGCATTCTAGCAGTAAATGTCCCATCGTTACTATTTAGCTTCTTTTTTTTTTTATGTGGTCATTGTTGTCGAAGCAGGATCGCACTTGCTCCCTTGTGGAAACAGGTTAACGTCAGACAGGAGACGCTCAATGCTTAAAAACTAATTCTATACCTACCAAGTAAGAAATTGTCCCGATTAGAAAACGACTACAATAAGGTCAATCTTTCCTTCCCCTTCCCACATCTAGGTTACACTGTCTATGGTTTAAAGATGACCTGTTCAAATACTCCTGACTTCCTTTCTTTCAATATGTTCTGGATAATAAAAAAAAAAAAAAACCTCCTTCACAACAGGACTATCATCTACAGAAACCAACAAAAGATACGAGAGAGGAGAAATGGGTTGCAATCAAGCAATCAAGTTGAGTCATCTGTAGAAGGACAGCACATCATGTTCTGAGCAGAACTCCAAGGTTGAAACTGATAAAAAAACTCTATTGGATACTTAGAATGGAGCTTCGATACATAAGTGCTGTGACATCTTTCTCCTTATCACCTCTCAGGCGAAAACTAATAACAAAGACCAAGTGAGAATTGGGAAGAATGAAAAATGTGCACAATGTACAAGTGTTATATATTTCCTGTGTGGGAGAACAGCACACGGAGATCGAACAAGAACTTTATTGAAGCAAGAACATATGAAAAGTATTTAGAAAACTCCAACTTTGGTGTGATCATAACAAGACAACAGCTGAAGGGGAGAAATAAAACACCAACTGGGAGTAAAGATGGTGGATTTCAGCAACAAATTTTCCATTAAAACAAAATGACACATCAATAAAACTCTTAATTCATCCACAGATTCTGAAATAAAGCAACAAAACCAAACAGTACAATTTCCACAAGTGTGCATTTGTTAACTAAATATACAATCTACTAAGTTGCAGTAGCTCAAAAATATAAAGGGGGCACGAACCTCACGAAATACAAAATAATGCCACTGGTTAGAAGCAGATACTGATGCACGACACATCCTGACAGGTCTCTACAGTGAAAATGAGGGATGAATAAGATTAACAAGCCCCTGGAATATGTTTGCATTCAGATTTCTAAAATAAAAATCAAACACAAACTCTGTGAAGCCCTTATGATTGAACGTTTGACTTCTGGCAGTGGTTTCCCTGAACAAAGCTTCGTAGCAAAAGACACCATCAAGAAGACTATCAGTTAATATTCTCATAGAGCCAAATTCTGATCACAAAAGAGTTCTAAAATGCAGTGCAGTTAAAATGATGGCAGCAAAGGCATAAGTGACTTCTTTTTTTTGTTTGTTTGTTTGTTTGAGTTTTTCTATGTTCAGATTGTTTAACTTCAGCATCTCGTCCTTCATCTTCGGATTCTCTGTCTCCTGTAAGGCGTCGCAAATCTGCAGGCGTCCATCGTCTTCCTCTTCCTGCTTGCTCTGGGAGCCTGCCTAGGCCAAAAGTTCCTCATAGTGCTCACTGATAACTCTCACCTGAAACAAGGTTCTTGTTTTTGCTGGTGGTGCACGGATAATTCTGAGCCTGAAACACTGACATCATGTGTAAACACAGTTAATAGCACGGACAAGGAGTGTTTTGTGTTGAGTGTGTGTGTTTACGTAAAAGCAGAGTCCTCAAGACACACCACAGAAACAGACCAACACAGTCCACACGCTCCCAGCTTCCCGTCTGGACGGAGGAATCACTCGACTTTGTGGCAATAGATGTCTTTTAAGGCTCTCAGCTCCTCTATCAGAGACTGGTTTTGCTTTTCGAGCACAGCCACGCGTTGTTCGAGGCATCTGACGTACTCCTTCTTCTTTCGTCGACACTCCCGGGCAGCTTCCCTGGAAGCAACAACAACAGTTACTGTGATAAAAGAAGCCTGAACATCTTGGCTTGACTCCCAGATTCAAGAGAAAACTTATTGCAGCTATGAATCAGAAAAAATATTACAAAGGGCTTTCTCATGTGGGCACAGAATGTTTAAATGATTATGAAGATGGTACCAGTGGCTACCTTCAGGGTAGGACCTCACATAACACAGTCAACTGAAGGATGTTGTGAAAAGCAGACAAGATCATAACAAAATCAGCACAAGGATAGACGAACAATATGAAAGACACAAACAAGAAAAGTAGAAGTCAGAGCCAGTAGGGCCACAAAGGTATTTACAGTAAACTAAAAGCCTCCTACAGACAGCAAAAAAAACAAAGCAAGTTAAATGAGGAGAGTAATCAATTTCTAGACACATGCAAAGTCCTAACGCTTGGTCATGTGAGCCGACTCACTCCAAACACACATTACAGAGTGGGTAACAGGCAGACAACCTAAGAATGAGCAGATAAACACCCTGGGATGATTATAGGCTTTGAATCTTATCATTACGTGGACTTACTGTCATTTTGATGTTTGTATATTACACAGGAGGCAACGCAGGAAGGAGGTTAAAGATGTCACCCAAGGACAGACAGTGAATACATCCACTTTGATGATCATTGGATTTTTTTTTTTTTAAACTAATATTGACATAGCGATAAGTTAATATTGGCTGATAAGATCAATATGGCTGCTTTGTGGTCCAGTCTGTAATGTCCAGTTTCATGAAAACAATCGCTCCTCTCTACCTGTTCTTCATTAAGCGGAGCTCCCTCTTCTGTAGGGCTTCTTCAACAGGTTTCTGGGAGCTGTGAGCACCTTCTCCTGGTCCACGCTGGGGCGGGGTGGAGGTGGGGTTACGCAGCTGGAAGCTGGCCAAACCACCTGCAGAGCCTGAGAAGACACACAAGGGCCCGTCAAAACTCTGCAGCAGCTAACACAGTTCCTAGAGACTCCCAGCTAGTTTAAAGTGATTTCAGTCATTGGGTTGTCTGTGTAGATTCTCAGTCATCCAGGTCATGGTAGTCCTAAGAGCTTCAGTTTAAAGTAACAAGATTTCTCATTGTGGTGCTTGAAGACTTTTTAACACCTTGAATCGTCATTAATAGAGCATTATGGATAGGTTTCTGGGGTGATACCACACATTTCGAGCTCCTCATCAGTCAGTTAAAGTTAAAGACGTCTTTCTGATGAGAGAGGAAACGTCTTCAGGAACCTAACGGTGAAGTCTAGTTGTCTTTTGCGGAAGCTGAATTCATCTGGTTACGCAATTAAAACAAACAAAAAAAAAAAGTCTCAGTGAGTTACAACTCAACTATGTAAACAAGCTTCTGTGGTTAGAAGCTCCAACACATCTGCCAAAAATAACAGTTGTCGGGATCTATAACGTATATTAATGTTTACAATCATTTGTAAAGTCAGTTTTTTTGTGTCTCAGTTATATCCATATGAGATACAACTAAATATTATTCCCATTTGCAAATAATTGAATTTCCCTTCTGGGATGAATAAAGTATTTTTCATTCATTCATTCATAATTACATAATTGTGTTTTTAATAATAAATTGTAATTTCCCAAAGTCCAAGATGATGGATTGATATTTGTGCTTAAGATGACTGATACAAATAGTCAATTGCCAAAATAATTGCAGGTACTGTTTTTTTGACTAATCAATAAAATGATTGGTTATTTCATTTGTCATTTTTACACATGGAGAAATGTGTGTTTCAGAGTTAGCAGTATCCATGTAGTTTAGATAGTCAGGGAGAATATGTGGATATGAAAAACTAACCATAACTAACAGTATTTGGTTATTTAGGCTAATGTTGTTAGCATAGCAACATAAAAAGAATTAAATTTTAGGTAGAGTGCTATGTTTATTCAAATGTGATTAAAGTTGTTTTTTTCCAGATTAGGTCTACAATATAGAGATTTTGGATGTATTTGATTGTATTTTATGTCAACTCTATCTCATTATGCGACTGTTACTTGGTATGAATAGCTAATCTCTGTAAGAAAAGTGGTGGATAGAAGAGTTGTGTTTTATTTTAGTCGTGGGTTGATCATCATCATCTTATAATAATCATGTTGTAACTAGTTTAGACGACTTAATAATGCGTTTATTGGTTTTTAATTTAGTGACAGACGAAGCTAAGACACACAGCCTGGATGCAGCTGTAACTCTTTAGAACCAAGTCCAAGCAAAAGTTCCTGCAAATCCAATGTTGCTGAAATCATCAGTTTCTTTTCATCATATCCTCATTCAGTGTATGAATACTGTTAAAGCAATAGTAAAAAATAGAAACAATTAGAGCATATAAGTGACTAAATCCTACATATTTTGATTGAAAGCTCCTTGAGGCCAAATTTTCTCAAACGTGTGCGCGACATTGCAAAAGAAATAACTGCACAGTGAGAGATGGTGCCGTCCTCATCCACTTCTCCTTCTGTTCATTGTTTACACAGCGCCAGTACATCATATCATAATAAGTTGCTGATTAATTCCGTGATATGTCGGAACTGCAAAAAGCAGCGGCATGTAATCACAGCGTGGCCGGCAACTGACGTCAATGTACATCTTATTCACTGGTTCGCATTTACATGTCGCTGCTGGGGGCCTGTTCCAGGAAAAGCAGTGACGTCAGCCACTGCTGCTATGTGCTCTGAGTGGGCAGAGAGAGAGGGAGAGGGTGAGAGAGAAGGAGAGGGTGAGGGAGAGAGGGAGAGAAAGAACAGGAGTGGAGAGAGAGAAAGAGAGATCGGGAGAGCGGAGATAAGCAGAGCCCGTTAAAAATGTTTCTTACCGGAGTAAGCTTGCTGCAGCTGACTGTGGAGAACGAGTGTAATATTTCAACCCATCATTTGTCACTTATTAACAGATGCCTACTTGTGATGCCGAAATTGTGAAGCTTTCTCAAGCTGCTTTGGGAAAAATACCACGAAAAACATCAACAACTGTGTAACACCTAAAATGTCAATCTCACAACAACTGTAATTTTCCCATGTCAACAGTGGTTGACTTGTGTAGCTGAATTGTCTCCCTCACCACTGACTGCCATTTCTACATTACTCTCTACATTAATATTTAAGCAATGTCAAAAAAATACTTTTAGATCTGACAGAAAAAAGAGACATACCTGCTTCTGTCTCATCCCCAGTTACAGCCATACTGTATCTACTCCCAGGTTTTCCAAGAGAAACTGCCTCCTCCAGTGTCTTCTCTCTCACTGAATATTACCACAGCCAACAGCGGGACTGTGTGTGCAATTTACAATTAGAGGCATTGACATCACCATGACATCACTGGCCTCCTGATGTCAACAGTACGGTTTGCTCTCTCCCCCGACACAGGGCTATGAGTCAGGGGCTGTTCTGTTTGTCTTTGGACGGGAATTTTCTTCAGCTTGACTGGAGCTCTTCTTCAGTTCTCAAGGCTTTTTGAAGACTGACAGTCGGTGGAGGCTGGGATTATTTGGACTCCACTAAACAAACACCAATCCCGTTTTTAGTGAGGAATATTTCCTTTCACATACCAGAAATTACACTTCGTAACACGCGCTATTTTGGCAATATTATAAAGCAAAGTGTCTGGTTAAAGCCACTGTAAATAAAAAGAGGCTACACTGTATGACTAAAGTAAGCAACCTGCATTTTCAGAGAGGACCAAAGCTCCTGCAGCATGTGGGAGTCAAACATTCATTTGAATTCCTTTATCCAAATGAGATCTAAGTTTTAAAGACAGGCTACTAATACATTGTGTTATAGGTTACTAAAAAAGTTATTGCGGGTGTGAATGTTTAACTTCTGTCACAATAACACCAACCGATTCATCTCATAGCCAAAGCTAAAGGAGCTGGCTCCCTCTGCTGGCGTTACAGAGGTATAACAAGGACCTGAGTTTTATCACGGAATCATAATGCCATCCTTATGTGTACCTTTGTAATTTCCTAAATTAGTTTCTGAACCATTTGAGCATTCAGTAACTCAGTGGTGAAGGAAGCATTCAGATACATCAGAGGAAAAAGTCAATGTAGAGTTAAAGTGTATGTGTAGTTGGTGAAAGTAGAGCTATTTCTAACTGCTTTAGATGTGCACTGCTATTTAGGTTATTTAACAATTAAAATGCACTCATTTTAAAACATCATCATAAGTGCTGTATGGAAGCCACAGTCTCAGTTTGTGACAGTAATAAGTAATAATTTAATGCAACTGTCAAACATATGCAGTGGCTGTAATATACTTTTTGTTGATTTATTGTTATTTTTTCAAATCAATTAGTGTGATTGTTTGGTTTATAGAATGTCAGAAAAAGGAGAAAGTGTGGATCATTCTTTCCCAAAGCCCAAGACGACATCCTCAGATGTCTTGTTTTGTCCACAGCCCTAAAGATATTCAGTTAGCTGTCATTGAAGGTATAATAAATTTTAGAACCCGCAATCAGAGAATTTAACTAAATATCAAATTAATTAGTCATCAGCTTAATAGTTGAGAACTAATCAATTAATGTGGGACATATTTAACCTTTTTTTTTTTTTTTTTAAACCTTAATGTACTCACACACCTCCCTGATGAACACCCTGTTAAGGCAATGTATCAATCAAAATCCATCCATCCATCCATCATCTATACACTGCTTAACCCTCACTAGGGTCATGGGGGGCTGGAGTCTATCCCAGCTGACTCAGGGTGAAGGCAGGGGACACCCTGGACAGGTCACCAGTCCATTGCAGGGCTACACTTAGAAACAGACAACCAAGCACACTCACATTCACACCTACGGACAATTTAGAATCACCAATTAACCTCAACATGTTTTTGGACCTCGTGGGATGAAGCTGGAGAACCCAGAGAGAACCCACGCTGCACGGGGAGAACATGCAAACTCCACGTAGAAAGATCCCGGGTGTCCTCATCAGGACACTAACCGGCGAACTTCTTGCTGCCAGGCAACAATGCTAACCACTGCTCCACCTTGCAGCATCAACCAAAGTATGTAACTAAATAATCCATACATAGTTTTACCTTTTGTGTAGTTTTGCTAGAACCTGATTCTATCTATGTGTGTTGCTTTTGTTTTTAGTGTTGTTTTCTACTCATCCTAACTCTTCAGTGGCTCAAGTGTGGAAATCAGGCACTACCTGGCGGTGTTAGCTGAACGTCCTCCTTTAGGGATAACAGAGAATCCACAGTCTGAAGGGTTCTTGATGTAGACCTTGGTGTTCGCAGGTTGTAACCGCTCGGAGCTGGCTCAGTGTGTGGCCACTCTTGCAGGAACTGGGGAGCATTTCCTTGAAAACAATTCATATAGGTGGGAAAAAACATCAGGATACCATCGGGGAAAGTGATTAGGCTTTTCAGCCAACCTAAGAGTGATTATGGCAACATGTAGTTTCTATTCTTTTTTTATTGCATACAGTGTGCTTAATGTGAAATAACTTACCACGACCACTGGACTGGTTATAAGTAATGGCAGGCATGTTACTCATAGGCACTATGAGTAATTGTATTTGTTGTGACACTTCAAAAATACACGTCTGACAATAAGGTGTTACCTGGGAGTGTGGGCATGTAATAGTGATGCACGCAATTGAGCGTGTTCCGCATGTAGTGAAAAGCACTTGATTGAGGCTGAGGTGCTTGTGTGCTGGTTCCGGGTGTAGGTGGCAGGTTCTGTGTCCCCTGAAGCGGGAACATGATGGGATATCCTTCTGAAAACCTAACTGGATGGGTAAAAATGTGAAAAGGCCCAGTCAGTATTAATAGATTGAACTAACCATTGCAAACACTCCTAAACAAGCGGGTTAAGAGGGGTCACGTGTCCTTGCAAGCCAATAAGCAGTCTCGAGCAAATCCATAAAGAGTATTGTGACAGATCCAGTATACTCAATCCGTTATTGTATCAATTTGGGTCTACTGTTTTCATGCATTTTTCTTTTTTCAGATATTTTGTGAGCACTTTGAAACTGCTCCCTCTGCATATTAAAGTATTACATATGTAGCCTGGCTGGTAACACTTTTGGACATCAAGCAAGGCCTCTGTGTTTCCTTCAGGAGTTGGTGAAGACCCAAACGGAGATAGAGAAAAAAATCAACTTTGAGAGAGTGTGCAGTGGTTATATGAAACAGTGTTGGTAAATGTGCTTTCAGGTGTGCTTACAGAACTGGTAGTAGCTGGTTTCCTGGTGACCACGAGTATCAATGCTTGACTCACTTCCACCTCGCTGGCAGTTCTGACAGACGCTGACTTGGACTGCCAATCGAGGTGACCATTCCAGTTTCACAGTGGAGATGAAAAACAACGTTGGACACAGAATTAAAAATGAATCTGCATCTGCACCGTCATATCTCTTGCCAGTATCTTTAAGAGGACTTTCCTTTTATTCTTTGACTAATGACATTTGATCATTTTCTCAGGCAAGACGGCTCGACCAGTTCCTAGAGTTTATGAGACACGTAACTCTTAACTTCAATTTATAAACTAAACTAGTCAGGTAGTTTGTTAGATTAAATAATATTGTAGGATCTTCACCTTCGTATTAAATTAAACAGGTGAATTTGTATTTTAAACGGTGTTGTAGGGTCATAATCACACTGTAGACTCTTCACCTTAATGTAAAACATAATAAGGACTTTTGTTGGGTAAACTTGTAATGCCAGAGTTATATCTCTATTGCCAAGGACGTTGGCTCATTGTGTCATTGATTAATAATGGTGATATGACTGGACTATTAAGGTGGTATTGCTTTGTATTGATTAATACTGACATATTCCATTTTATTTATATATATATATAACACTATTACTATTATTACTTTCAGAGGTTTGTAGAAAGTCCAGTCACAGAAGTTCTCTATCAAGTTTATGAGTAGGTTGGTTCGACCCAAACTAGCAGGTACTAACAGTTTGCAAACAAATATGAACAATTACTGCTTAGAAGTTATTAATTAGAAAATGCAGACACTGGTCAAGCTAGCTGACAGCTAACTGACATTTTAGCTACCGTTACTGTCGTCTAAGCTAGCCTATTCTCCCAACTAACTAGCTTGTTATTATTTTAAAAAAACAATCTTAAGCTATAGAGTAGTGGCACCGTACTCACATTATGTTACGCAGTTCTTGTAAATTAACATAAAAGAAGATTTGAAAAAGAAAAACTTCTCTTGTGGTGACGTTGGGCTGGTGAAGTGTTACGTTGTTCAGAGAAACGTTAGGCAGGAGTTTATCGACAATTCTAATTGGTTGATTTTTCTTCTATTCTGCCAATGAACGTTATCATATTTATCACTTATTATTTTTACGCTCCTCAATTTAAAAATAAAAGGCAGACCCCACACAGACCGTTAAAAAATTATACAAATACAGTTTTTTTTTTCTTTTAAATCCCACAACTGTGAAGTTTATTCCTACTTAAGAGGTGAAAACAACTTAGGCCGTTTAAACCTTTAGCTGCTTGGTGATTCACTATATATAGATATATGCGAGGCATAAACATAAACATGGGCGACAGGTGGTTTACAGTTATTCTAATCATCAAAGTGTGGAAGACATTATAACCTCCTGAATGTATGCGGTTGTAATTTTAATACGCAATTCCTAAGAGGTTTCCGTAGTTTTAGGCGATACCATAGTAACATGGGTGTTGTTGAGACTTGGATTTGCTTGGGTTTGACCTTTTCCTCCTTAACGATGACAGATTTAGAATAGATTATTTAAAACTAAATATTTATCTTAGGCATTGTACTCAGGTACAAAGCAAATAAGTGTTTTATGACCAAATTACGTTTTGTTCGTGAACATCCCCATTTAACAAAATGGTACAACCCGAGAGGTAAGGGAAGACCTGTATGTGAGACAAATCAAGCCTGTGACAGCGGAGAAACCTGACTTTTATAACAAGTAATTACTGTACAGAGGTATGTACTATTCAAAAGTCCTTGCTTGACCTCAGTAACCTGTTTTGTTTAACAGCAGCATAATGTTTTGCCGAGCTGTCAGTGTGAATGTAGGGACATTGCAAAGAAGATGACAATTTGCTAGCGATAGCCCAGCTATCGTTAGCTCCCTGCTAGCCGACTAACTGCTAGCTGATACCTCCAAACTGTGCGGACTTGAGCAGGAAGAAGTAGCATGCTAGCTGGAAGCTAGTTAGCCGTTTAGCTCGCCATCCTATTTTGGGATTGGCATTCCGCTAGCTAGTAACCTTAACTTAGCTACATTTATCGTGACTGCAAGAAGGCTGTTTACTTATGAACAATAATGCCTATTTGTAAGACGAGTGTGTTGAAGTGTAAAGTGGCTAGCAAGAAAAACTGCATGATGATGTTGCAATGTTTTCTGTGACGTGAAATCAACTGGTTTGAATGACGAGAAACAACACAGGGCCTAGTTTCCCTTACTTGGAATGCAATCTATGGTTCTTCTGGCACAGACCCAGAGGTTGATACTAT